GACATGACTGGACTAAATGTCAAGGGGAACCTTTACCTTTACAGTGGACCCTCTACTTACAGAACTAATCCGTACTGGAACGGTGGCTGCAGGTCGAAAAGTCTATAGGTCGAGTCTCTATTGACCTACAATGCATAGAAAACCGATTAATCCCGTAACTGCCCGTATTTGTTCCATTTTTGTTCCATTTTGGTTTTTTCTGGTCTGTAGGTCGATTCTCAGGCTGCAAGTCGAACTTAAATTTTGCAGCCAGAGAAGTCTGCAACTTGAAAAGTCTGTAAGTCGAGCCGTCTGTAAGTTGAGGGTCCACTGTACCTAAAGGTAATTAAGGTCCTCTGTACAGGGGTAGGAGCTTAGCCAAGCTTCCAAAGCCTCACCAAGTTGGGCTGGGACTCTTTTCCAGGAGTACCCTTGCCTATGTTGGGCTTTTTACCGCCTCCTGTGCCCTTGTTCTGGAGCAGGGCACCTGCTGTAAAAGCATGATGAATTTGGGTACTGGCCTCCACAGATGGTACACTCATGCCTGAAGCTGCATGGACTTTTTGTACAGCTACCTTTGAAGTTGTACTCCCAACAGATCAGTCGGACTTAAACTGCCTGCCCCTTCAAGATGGGGATACTAGACAAGGGCGACCTTTCTGTGCAAATGACTGCTGTCAAATCTGTCTCCAGAATTTGGCCTGGTGGGGAGAATGGCATGCCCAAGCCACAAGATTGTGGACTGGTGCATGGCCATGCAGTGCTGGGAAGCCCTACACTGTGTGAGTTGTAAGGTGTGTAGGTTGCCTGATTGCATTGATCGCTGCTGGCCGAAGGCCATGCGGGGATTGGTGTGTAGGTGGCCTGGTGTGGCAGCCAACTTACCTGATGAAGTTGAAGCCATGCTTGGACTCTGACCAATGTATGGTCTGTCAGGGATGATTTCATCTACTTTCTCCTGGACCTCCTGGCACTCAGTCGCTGTTATCGTTGTTGCAGGAGTCAATAACCTTCTGCCTCTCTCCGAACGCTGTGACTTTGATGTTGAAAAGGTGCCCTCTGCTTCATTTCTAGTGGTTGCTTCAGCTCTCTGCCTCAAGAACAGCAAACCGTACATTAGGTCATGAGCTAAAGCCTTGAATTTGGCCCTGTGGTGGCTCTTGCCATCCCTAGCTGATCTATGTGGCTGAACCTTGGTCAGTTGTAGAGCCGCTCAGCTTCTAATGCAGAGCTTTTTAAAAATTTCTTGCCATACTGTCTATGATTCCTCATCTGAAGAGGATTGGGGAGGCAACACCTGTTGCCCTGGCACCTCCTCAATGCCATTATGGATCAAGGCTCCCTAATGATTAATTGATAACTTAGCTCAGTAATGCGAATGCCAACACTGTTGGAATTCTGCAGCAGAAGCTAAGCCTAGGTTTCAGCTTAGCACCCCTTAGAAGAGTAGCAATTCCTTACACCAGTAAATAATTAGGAGTCTTTATATTTAATAGATTTTTATATATTATTAATTTTTCTACAATTGAACATAGAAAGTATTTGCTTAAATATCTTGATAAATCACACCTCTAATATTGATTATTAGATAAATTTTCAACCAACCAGTTGAATTTAATTTACCACCTGAATCAATTAATTAATCAATCCTGTTGTGGTTATCAGCTTAATTAATCAATTTGAATATCTGATTAATCCACTATATATATATGTAAATATTAAAATTAATTCATTTAATATATTGATTATAAATTAATTGGATAGCTAAAATTATTCAAGTTTTAAATGTTGTTATTTAATTGTTAACTTCCTAACTATTATTATTTTAATTTATTTATTTAATATGATGCTGGACCTGATATAAAATAGACCCGGCATACATCCCAAACCTGTGCGAGCTTATCACTGAGGGTGCAATGTATAGCTGGCTGCAGGGGGAAAGGGGGGAGATGGATTTTGGCATGGCTTAGCTATCATTACCGGGACCTTGGTGACGTGCCTAGCACACATGCACTAAAAGCCACTGTAACTGAGGAGAGGATCTGCCATGCCAATGTCCATCCACCACCAAAAAACTCAATGCCGCCGCCCCAATCCCACAATCTTGCCCCCTTACACTCTTTCATGTTTCACTAGAAGGTCTGCTGTAATTCATTTATTATTATTCTATTCATTATTATTTTTATTTTTCATTCTATGAACCAATTGCGCCCAAGCGTGGCCGGGTGGGGTGCAGCCGTCATCTCATGTGCCATTGGAAGTGGTGCTGATTCATGTTTTTCCCTGCCAGCCCGATCACTGGATACAGTATCTTCCCCTTCATCCTGCTGACCTCGCATCTCGGTGAAGGACCAGTCAACCTCTGGTGTTCTCAACCCTCACTCCTCCTCCTTGCTCTGGTGTTGAGATGTTGCAGTTGAGGCATCCAATCCACTCCTGTATGGCCGAGAGACCTGCTGATCATCCTCTAAAGCTGCAAAACGAGCCATTAGATTTTCTGCCATGGCCCTAAGTTTAACCTTCCTATGACTCTTGGTTTCCCTGGCCGAATGGTGTGGTAGTGGCTCACTGTGTTGTGCAACACTTTGTGCTGCTCTTTCAGCTTCTAAGGCCACAATTTTGTATTGCAGCTGCTGCCATATAGGCCATGCCTCCTCATCCAAAGAAGATTGGGGAGGCAAAACTTGGGGAGCTGCATGCTTTTTGCAGGCTGTTTGCCTTTCTTGTTACCTTGGCCCTTCCTAGAAGCCATCACAGCCACTGAGACTCAAAAGTGTATGCAGTTCTATATCTTTAATAAGCCACTTGAATCCCTAGGATCACCATGATTATTTTTTATACAGTCTGCTTATTTATTTGTTTTGTTTAAATTAGTTCTTATTCACCACTGAGCATGTGTAAGCAATAAGTTGATTAATAATAAAATTAATGTAAGGCCTCCTAAAGCTCTGCCACAGTGCACTCTTGTCACTTAATGATTTTTTAAATTTATAATTTATTTATTATATCTATTTTATTATTCTTATCCATTGTTATTATTTATTTTATTTTATCTTATATTATGTTTTTATTATATTGCTATTATTGCCCACCTCCAAGGGGAAGCAGCGAATTTGAATTATACCCCACCACAATATGAAAGCAAAATTAATTATTTATGAAGCCAAGATTTCCTTTTGTTGTTTAGTTGTTAAGTCATTGTCCAACTCTTTGTGACCCTATGGACCAGAACACGCCAGACCCTCCTGAACCAACTCTTTGTGACCCCATGGACCAGAACCAGGCCAAACCCTCCTGAATTCCACTGCCTCTCAGAGTTGGATCAAATTCATGTTGGTAGCTTCAATGACACTGTCCAACCATCTCGTCCTTCACACTTTCCCAACATCAGAGTCTTTTCCAGGGAATCTTCTGTTCTCATGAGATAGCCATAGTATTGGAGCCTCAACTTCAGTATCTGTCCTTCCAGTGAACACTCAGGGTTGATTTCCTTAAGAATGGATAGGTTTGTTCTCCTTGCAGTCCAGGGGACTCTCATGAATCTCCTCCAGCACCACAATTCAAAGGCATCAATTCTTTGGCGGTCAGCCTTCTTGATGGTCCAGCTCTCACTTCCGTACATCACTACTAGAAAAACCATAGCTTTGACTATGTGGACCTTTGTTGGCAAGGTGATGTCTCTGCTTTTTAAGATGCTGTCGAGGTTTGTCATTGCTTTCCTCCCAAGAAGCAGGCAGCTTTTAATTTCATGGCTGCTGTCATCATCTGCAGTGATCATGGAGCCCAAGAAAGTAAAATCTGTCACTGCCTCCATATCCTCCCCTTCTATTTGTCAGGAGGTGATCGGACCAGTGGCCATGATCTTGGTTTTTTTGATGTTGAGCTTCAGACCATTTTTTTTCACTCTCCTCTTTTAGACCATTTTTTGCACTCTCCTCTTTTACCTCATTACAAGATTCTTTAATCCCTCCTCACATTCTGCCATCAGAGTAGTATCATCTGCATAACTGAGGTCATTGATATTTCTTCCGGCAATCTTAATTCCGTCTTGGGATTCATCCATTCCAGCCTTTCTCATGATGTATTCTGCATATAAGTTAAATTAGCAGGGAGACAATATACAGCCTTGTTGTATTCCTTTCCCAATTTTAAACCAATCAGTTGTTCCATATCCAGTTCTAACCGTTGCTTCCTGTCCCACATATAGATTTCTCAGGTGATAGATAAGGTGGTCAGGCACTTCCATTTCTTTAAGAACTTGCCATATTTTGCTGTGGTCCACACAGTCAGAGGCTTTTGCATAGTCAATGAAGCAGAAGTAAATGAAAAGGAAGAGGCCGAAGGGAGGGGGGAACATATATTAAATAACATCCTCCTTCCCCCCTCCCTTCACCGGTCACTCTCGCAAGACCACAGCACCTCGCAATATCCAGGGAAGGGGATAATGGCAGCCTGCACCAGCAAAGCAAGCTCGCCAGCGGACCGAACAATGTCTGATAAGAAAGGAATTCCTCTGGATTGACTGGGACTATTCCAGGTATGTACCAACTGCAACTTCAGGCCAGCTTCAAGAGTGTTGTAATGTAAGAAGTTGAATACAAGGCAATATTTAGTCAAGAGATTATCAAATCTAATGCCAGGTTATTTAGTACAGAAACATCCAGAGTTGACAGACCAAATTTGCATTCCATGGAAGACATTTGCAGCTTTGATAATAATAATTTTAAAAAGAGAGGACCTACTAACTATGGAGCTGTTCTAGCACAAACATCTACATGCCTTCTTTCTTATTAATTAAACAGAGAAACATCTTCTGTTGTTATGTTCCATCACATTGCTACTGAATTATGACAATCCTATGAATGGGCAATTTCCAAAATGTACTTTCCTCATTTGCCCCTTGTAAACTCTTGTAAACTCAAATCTGTGGCTTTCCTTAGGGGATCAGTCCATCTTGTATTTGGTCTTCCTCAGACAAATGCATTTTCCCAGTTTATTGGGCAACCTTAGTTCTTATCTGGTAGGCATAAGGGTATTTGCAACCTTCACTTGAAGGTTCTGGAACTTAGATTCACATCTATGTACCACTGATAACAATTTAACTTACTTTATTTATTTTGTTTATAAACTGTTCTATTCAGGAAAGTTTATGGTGACGGTCAGCAGATAAAAAGAGACACACATTAAACAGTTAAAACAGAAAGTCTGTAAAAGTGTCTGTAATAGAGAAAGTGCTAGAGCAAAAACTTTAAACCGTAAGTACATATACAACATTAGAGGTAATTACAATAATCATGAGTATACTGCAAACCTACTAAGGATTTCACACCTGGGACTCATGATTTTAAAACATTTTCATTGTAAAATGAATTCAAGAGGGGAAAAAAACTCAATTTTTCGCAGTCCAATGAATAAAACCAAACATGCAGTTACACATGATTGCATAGTACTAGAAAGTGTTGTAACCGTGTTATTTCACCTGCAATAAACTTGGAAATGCTCACTATTTTGAACTAAAATAATGCTAGCACAGGCAAGATGTGATTGTTGCCTCAATGATCCTGATTAGCACAATGTAACCTGCAAAATAAAATAAAATAAAATACAGTGGTAATATCATAAGTGCAGACACTCATTATGACTGTACCCATCACTATTGCACTAAAGAACACTAGTCCAGACATTCAGCCTCTAGATAAGTGCATATCAATGGTTATGAACCAAGTCTTCTATATAACTCCAGCAAATGTTTTACATGCTGATGGAGATAAAGACATATGCAGACACAGAGTGGCAATCGACAGCAGTTGGGCAGCCACATCTTGTACTAGCATCCTGTTTCTATTCCCACAAAGAGGAGACCCATTGACTCACTGGTATTCACAAAAGGGTTCACTTACCATTCAGTAAAAGATCCAAATGGGCTGTCTTCTACTCAAGGCTAGTAATAGATTCTGGGCAACAGCAAGTCACTGTCCATTCAGTACCGATTCACCCCCAAATATTCTACATTGAAAATGGAATAGCTAACAACTATATGCTGTTACAGGGATAATCCTTTTCATTCTCAGCTATCGTAAGGGCTGCAGTTAAACTCATCCCAGCCCAGGGCAATATCAGGGTCCTCCTATATAAAGAGTCCCAGGGATTTAATGACATGGGCCAGGCTCTACTACACTGGTTTGTTCTTCTCCACTCAGGACAAATTCCCCCACAAATACTTTGTATCAGAACTGGGATTTTTTTTATTGGGAAAACCCATTCCTTTCCCAGCTACTGAGATAATTCCAGGTAAAAGGACATGGGGTGCTAGTTCCTCCTAAAGAAAAAGCCCAAGGGTTTTGACCAGGTGAGCCCTGGCTCCTTTGCAGTCCTGTGTAGAGACAGCAGAATGGGTCTTCTTTTGGATGAAGTATTGGAGGTAGCCTTGACGAATCCTGGTGCTCACAAAGTGCTTGGGTAAGGAAACATTTGCATGCAAAGATACAATTCAAGGGTCAGAAAACAATGTTTTTAGAGGAGAACACCAGTTTAAAGAGTTTCCATAAAGCAGCCTTGATCTCACCGTTTCTCATGCTGTAGATGAGTGGATTCAGTGTGGGAGGAATTATGGAATATATCAGAGCACAAACCACATCCAGAGTAGAAGAAACACCCCTGGGTGGTTTTACATAGGCAAATAATGCAGCTAACAAATAAACGGAGGCAACAGTGAGGTGGGGAATGCAAGTGGAGAGAGCTTTCCTCTGCCCATGTACAGATGGCATTCTCAGCACCGTAGCAAAGATCTTCAGGTATGTCATGAAAATGAAGAGAAGGCATCCTAGCACTGCACCACAGCTTAGGGCAAGAAGCCAGACTTCAGCTAAATAAAGATCAGAACATGAAAGCTTTAATAAATGTGGGGCCTCGCAGAAGAACTGATTGATGCTATTAGAACAAAAGGTATTTGCAAAGGTTGCACCTGTATGCAAGGTGGCATAAAAGAGACTGAATATCCACCCAGCGGCCACCATCTTATAGCAGGCTTCTTTGTGCATAATTCTCTCATACTCGAGTGGGTTGCATATTGCAATATGGCGATCATGTGCCATTATGGTTAGGGTAATTAAATCTGATGATCCAAAAAAGAAGCAAAAGAAAACTTGAGCCGCACATCCAGAATAAGAAATGGACCTGTCATCCATAAGCGAGACAGCCATTGATTTGGGGACCATCACCGAAATGAAGCCAAGGTCTATCATGGCCAAGTTCAAGAGGAAGAAGTACATTGGGATATGCAAGTGGTAGTCAATGATGATGGCAATGATGATGAGAAAATTCCCTATTACTGCCATCAGATACAGTGCTAGCAATACAGAGAAATGGATGATTTGTAGTTCTCGGATGTCTGAGAATCCCAGCAGCAGAAAAGTCATCATGGAGGTAAAATTGTTCATGTTGTCTTCCATAGCTGCTTACCATCTGAAGCAGAAAATGAAGACGTATTTAAATTCATTATCCATTGTTATTCAAACACATCTCCAATTAAACTACAATTCATCAAAATTTCTTGATGAAACTAGTAGGGAAAAATATGTTTCAGAAGTAGAGCTATACACATTCACTGTTAAGTTGATAAAAATATTAGTAAGGGAGCCTAAATAGTGCAACATAAGAAAAAACAATACATCAGATATACATTAGGAAGGTCAGCCAAAAACGTATATGGAACATTTTACAAAGCAGCTGTTAAAAACACGAGTTCCTTGCCTAAAATGTGACAGTTCAGAAATCCTAGTGAACAAACTTCTTTTCAAATATAAAATGAAACTAACCACATATACCAAGGAAGGTAGTGCATAATCAGTGTCCTACATGGACGAACCCCTATGTTTTATTCACTACAGCATGAACTTTACCGAATACATAGTTTGTGAAAATGAACTTCCTATTGTACTTTAAAGTACAAGATAGTTTGCACTGGGAATGGGATCTTCTAAGGATCTCTGTCCTAAATCACCCAGGATTTGGAAAACAGCATGGTTTGAACTAGCTGCTTCACAAGGAACAAGTGCAGTACTTTGAAAAGGCATTCTGCACCAGCACAACTTCTAGACTGTCTTCAAGGGTGTTTCCAGGTATGAACTAAATTACAGGGAAATAATCCAGTCAACCAACTAAGAAGGCATGGATGTCTATTCCAGTACAGAAAGAGCCAAAATGTTTGACCCAATACGGATTCCATGAAAGACACATCCACCTGCTGCAATAGTGTTGAACCAAAGAGAAGCCATAGAAAATGAATTTCTTCCAGCTGCACCATGTGCATGTAATTTCTCTAATTACTCAAAGAGAGAACTACCACCTAATAGAAACTTCCATTTTCTTAGGGTTTCAACCTCAATGTATTGGCTCTCAGTTGTCTCCAGCCACCAATCCAGAACTTCCACAAAGAAAAAAGAACTGGGTATAAATCAGGGCCACACTTTATTGAACTCCCTTGCTGGGTGTTTTTAAGAACCAACTTAAGTCCTGGCTCTTCAGACAGGCCTTCCCTCCTGTCAATACCTAAATTATTTCACCATCATCTAGTGTACTAATATTGTTGTTTTATTTCATTTTAATATTGTTGTTAGCTACCCAGAGTAGACTTTGGTCTAAATGAGCGGGATATAAATAAAATAAATAAATGGGAACAATCCTCCCCTTTAAAAGGGATACCTATAGTATTGAGGGAGCATGATCTGTATCTGGAGCCAGCTTTGCCTCAGACCCAGACCTTCTCATAGTGAGTTCCCATAAACTCAGGTTATCCCTCAAATGCAGGCTGCCCAAGGCTCTTCACTCTAGAAAGTACACGTCCTGTGAGGGGGGGGTCTGCTTACCCACCTCCCAGCTCAGAAACCTCGTGGTCTTCAACTCTGGGAGGTGTTATGACTACACCCCCATTGGGTGCCACTTGTAACTCACCTAAAAAACTTATGCCTTTAGTGCTATCTGCCCATATGACCAACAGTTGGAATTGAACTATGCACCTTTCCATTGACAAAATTGTAAATGAATGAAGATAAGAACAGGATGAGTGAAAACACACCTGTGCCTCGGAGGTACAGGTACACTGCACCTCGGAGACAATTACAGGTACAGGTCAAAAATTCCCATTCAGCCCTGAAGCGACTACCATCACTCATTCTTATCATGGGTGGGAGGGCAGGTCAGTGCATCAGTAAGAAGAGGCCAAAGCCGGGGGAAGCTCCTCTTTTAAAGATAAGCTTTGGCTCGTCCCTGCCATTCACCATAGCTTTGCCTGTGCATGTCCCATCTAGGTGGCTAGGCAAAGCACTCCTGCTTCTGCAACCATGGCTGTAGAAGGAGTCTTGCCGGAACAAGCATGTAATGTCAGGCAGTGAGGAAGTTGGCAAACCTCAGTGACCGCTAGCTCTTTTTGGCCAGCTTGCTGTAATCATCATAATCCAAAAAAGGCAGAAGCCAGGAGGCTCTCAAGATTTCGACAGCAACCTATTATATGCAATCCTTTCAGTGCTTCAGATACTCAAATGCAACAGCCATCATCCTGACTTGGGGGCATTTAATGCAATTCACCCAACTACAGGAAGATCTACAGGACAAGGTGTAGAGATTTATATCCAGTCTCATTGCAAATATATCATAGAAATATCTCTTCATAAATTAGGAGAGAAAAGGAGACAGCATTTACCTTTTGATAAAGCAAATCTGTTCTTCTCAGTAGGTATTTCCATAAAGGTTTCATGAAGAGGTCACCAGATTTGTATGGTGCTATTCTGTATCATGTGGCTCAGCTACATGAAATTTTTGTAGCAGGGTAATCTTGAATGGAGTTTAATCCATCTATCTGCTCTACACAGATTCTTCGAGGTACTTATTACAGAGCCAAAGAGAGTTCAACAGTAAAAGTCCCAAGAGAAATTATTGCTGTTTGTTTACTGAAATTAGTCTCTAAGAAAAGCAAAGTGCCAGATCATACACTCATGAGAGAAGTCCTCCAATCTATGTGGAGATGAAACAGTATGACTTGCTCCTCTCCTCTCTTTACGTCATGCCCAACTCATCGTAATCCCTCTAAGTTTGGTGAAGATTGGGGTTCCTCAAGCCAGCTGCTAAAGAGCACTTTCCTGGGGGACCTACTTTCTGGATGTAGAACGTGGATGTCTGAGAACAATCTTCACCAAAGATTGTAGAGGAGAGTCAGTAGAAGCTTTCTGTGATTTTGGCATCCCTTAAGTGTTTGGGGAGAACTTTCCTGGGGAAGGCTTCCTTGTGGGTGTATAACTTGGATGTTTGAAACCCAAACTTCACCATACTTTCAGGGCTTGTAGAGAAGAGTGAAGGAAAGTCGTTCTGCAATTTAGTGTCTCCAGGTGCTGGGAGGGGCATTTTATGGGGTTTTAAAGTTAAAAATGAATTGACAAATCAATACGACTCACCAGAAAAAAAATGTAAATTTGTAATTCATGATTTGCCAACCTTGATGGATCATGAATCAAAACAAATCACAACTTTCCTGATCCATCTCTATTGGTAAGTCTTTAAAAGTGAGATAGAGCTATGCTCTTCCTGTACCAGAATAGTTGCTGCTGAGTGAAACAAATGCTTCTTTGTTCCATAACAGAAGTACTCTCACTATAGAGATATTTAGGAGAGAAACCACAC